AGCCAAGGGAAGAGAGGGAATCAACGGGATGTTTAAAAAAAAAGTAGGAAAAAGCGTGAGAAGGAAGGAGGAGGGAGAATAAACAGAAATAAAGAGAATAAAGGAAGGGTTGAACGTAAGGAAGAAGAGAAAATCAAAGGAGGAGGGAAAAGGAAGGGATATGGAGCCAGAGGAAGGAGGGGATGAAATAAAAGGAAGAAGGAGGAATGGAACTTAAGAAGTGAAGAAGAGAAAAAATATGAGAAAAAAATGCAGAGGGGAGAGGAAGGAGCTAAAGAAGGAGAGTAAACTAAGAGGAAGAAAGGGATCGAACAGGAGGAAAAGAGAAGATAGAGTAGGAGCAAAAAAACAAGTAAGGTAAAATGAAAAAAATGTGAAAGACAGCGAAGGATAATCTCACCTCCCTGTTGAGAAAGCAGAGAAGAAGAAGAAGAAGAAAGAAAAAAGAAAAATCTCTTTGGAGAGAGATGACAAAAGGGAATGCTAAAAGTCCTTCGGCTTCGAAAGCCTTGTGCCAGAGAGAGAGAGAGAGAGAGAGAGAGAGAGAGAGAGAAGAGAGGAGAGAGAGAGAGAGAGAGAGAGAGAGAGAGAGAGAGAGAGAGAGAGAGAGAAGAGAGAGAGAGAGAGAGAGAGAGAGAGAGAGAGAGAGAGAGAGAGAGAGAGAGAGAGAGAGAGGGAGAGAGAGAGAGGAGAGAGAAGGAGGGAAGGAGGGAGACAGACCGTGGATGAAGAACAGTGGCGTAAAAGGGTAAGTGAAATAGAGAGAAAGAATAACAGGAACAGGAAGGGACTGAAACCAAAAGGGAAAAGGGGAGAGATAGAAAAAAAAACACACACAGGAAAGATCAACAACAGAAAAGGTCATTGAACTGAACGCACTTCAAATGCCTCCAACCTTTTCATATATACAGTCATCCTGCCCTCTGTAGAAAAGAAAAAAAAACTTAAAAATAAGAAATTGGACCAAATACTAATTAAACTCACCATGCGCATTCAAATGAAAAGTATTTAATTCCGGTTTCGCAATGGGGTGAGCTAACTAATTGGCGCCAGGGTTGGGGAAGCGAACACTCAGAGAGGAGGGACGTACCTATGGCAACTTATTGTTTACACAGATTTGGTGTCGTTGGCTCTGTGTAATGATCTGTACTCCGTCACTTCCTTTAATTTTATGCGCGTGTAGAAAAGGGTATGCGTGGATATCAGTGATGGGTGATGATAGAGACGTATTTGATACCTTCACAATGCCAGAGATGTATTTGAATCGGTTTGGAATACATCGTCGTCGGATATACAGGTATTTCTGACGGAAGTCGTGTTCGGTTGTAAATACTTATCACTTGTATTGTGAAAATGTTCTTCTTTCATAGCTTTTATACGTTTGTCGACAGTACGGTTCGTGGTGGTGGTTGTGGTGGTGGTGGTAGTGGTGGTGGTGGGGGGGGGGGCTTGTTGTACCTGTAGGAGAGGATGTGGCGTTTAACTCTACGGGGTTCTTAGCCATGTTTCAACTATCGCGACTGTGACAAGGATAGGGGGAGGGGCTTTGTGCAGTGTGCTTCTGAGGATCTTAGAGAGACGGAGACAAAGAAAGATAGACAGACAGATGGACGAACGACCGGACAGACAGACAGACGGACAGTCAAGCAGACAGACGGACAGACAGGCAGATAGTCAGTCAAACCCACAGACAGACACAGGCACAGACAGACAGACACAGGTACAGATAGACAGGCAGACACACAGGCACAGACAGACAGACAGTGAAAGTGAAAATGACAGTGGTAGCGAGGGGAGGAAAGTAAGAATAAAATAAAGAAAAAGAGAGAAAGAAAAAGTGGGAAGGAAAGTGAGAGAGAGAACGAAAGAGAAAGAGAAAGAAAGAGAGAAAGAAAAAAAGACATGGAACACGAGTATCAAATTGCTCAGCAAAATGAATAAATAAATAAATAAATAGATAAAAAATATTTCATCCTTGATTTCCCTGCCTCTCCACAAGGGCTTCATGAACAGAATAAAGTTGCGAAACCAAAAATAGGCTTTTTTTGGATTTTTTTTCTGCATTCTTCCTCTTTTTCCTTCGTCTTTCCTTTTCTTCTTCTTCTTCTTCGGGATGTTTTTTTTTTTTTGGGGGGGAGGAGAGGCAAGAACTGTCGACTCGTTTTATGAGAAAGACCGTTTTTCCCGTAATTGCAAGGATACGATTTTTTTTCTTCTTTTTTTTTTGTAACGAAATGAATTCATATTTTGATGGTAAAAATGAAAGGTATATATCGCCGACCTGACTCATTTTCATGTTTTTTTTTTTTTTCTTTTTTCAATTTTCATGTTTTTTTTTTTTCCTTTTCCTTTTTTTTCTTTCCTTTTTTTCTCTTTTTTTAGTAGCTTGATTGACTGCAGGAACTTGAAGTATTGTTCCCGTGGAAAGAATTTTACCCTTTTTATTTTTTTTTTTTTTTTAAGAGTCAACTGACATCCTGACGTCCTAAACGGAAAGCCCTTAACTTGATTAATGTTTGTTTTGTTCATAATTCATCCTCTCATAGCAGTAGATTGAACTGTTTTTAAAGCGCATATTTCATGAGCTAAACACATATAAGTTTGTAAACATTTGTACCTGATGTTCCACGCTTATATGAATTCATATATACATACGCAGAGGTATTTGTTATCGAAACAATAAACAAGTTGTTTATCCGATTCTCCATTTGGATATGCGTGTGCGTGTGTATGTTTTGTGTGTGTGTTGTGTGTATGTGTTGTTTTGTGTGTGTGTGTGGTGTGTGTGTATGTTTTTCGTGTGTGTGTATGTTTTTTCGTGTGTGTGCGTACGTGCGTGTGTGTGTGTGTGTGTGTGTGTTGTTTGTGTGTGTGTGTGTGTGTGTTGCGTGTGTGTGTGATTTTGACTATGTGCGTGCTTCTGTGTATGTGTTTGTTTTTTGTTTATATGGGTTACGTGCGTGCTAGTTTCTGTTCCGTCTGTGTATGTGTTTTTGTTCTATGTTCATGTTCTTATGAAAATGTTCGTGTATATGTGTGTTTTATGTGCCTGTGTATGTGTATGCTTTATGTTCATATGGATATGTGCGTATGTGTGTGTGTGTGTTTATGTGCGTTTGTGTATAAGGGCTTCTGTGCGTCTGCGTTCATAAGAACATATTCCACACGTGCGTACATGTTCATCTAGATGTGCGTCGACATGCTCTTCATTTCACCAACACACGTCACTCCGAACGCAATTGACGGGAAATTACGAATTGAGGGAAANAGTTTTATTTTTGGGAGTCGTATTTGTTCATTCTTGGTCAGTTTGTAAAGAAGTTTTCTTTTTTTTTTCTTTTTTCCCTTATTCTTTTTTTATTTTTTCAGTGTTTCCCCAAGAATTTTTTTGAGTATTTTTCATATTGGGTGTGTAAGATAGTGGTGGTTATGAGGATATGAAGTTTTTTTCCACTTCGTATTTTATTTACGAAAGTACCCTATTTACATATTCAAGGTGTGGCGTGAGGAGGAATCATTGTCGTAGATGCGTTCAAGTGTGTATTCCTAAGCAGGAAGTCCGCAGGGAATACACCCCTGAACAAATATCTTGGTCATCTCCTCACGAAGAGAGTAGCAGTATGACCTAAGTATTTGTTCGATTGGCTGGATACCGAAGAAGCGGAGGGATGGGGAGCGGGAACCGGGAGGGACGAGGACCGCGACCTGACCTTCTCCATCGCGACTCGACTGATGAGATCTTAGACAGTTCTTTTCTGAAGATAGCTGAGTATCGCCTCGAGCTTGTGCATGAGAAGGCGTTGAAGACTGTCATATAACGGTTTGAACACTTCTTTGTACATTCAGGGTTGAGTGTCCGGGTTAGATACAGCCAGGCTTGATCATGTTTCGGACCATTCTTCCAAGTTGTTAGTCTACGATTTGGGGTTTGGGATCTCTAACATGCGGACGTTTGTGGCAAGTCGAGGAGTATACACGCTGTGGCATTGAGGAAACTGTGTGGCGTGTGTGTGTCAAATCTCCATGGCTTTTCTGCAGATATGGGCATGATGTGCATTGGAGTATGTGCATTGGTTCGTGCGCTGTCTGCGGTATGAAAAGGGTGGAGAGTATAAGTTTTGTTCAGGCATACTTTATATAGCCCGGCGCATAAGTGGAATGCAGCCTCTGGATGCGGGGTATATCGGCTTTGTCTGCGTGTAATTGAAGGTGCTTGTACGTTGCTCGGCCTTCTGGCCGAGGGCTTTGTAGAATTCACCAAAGGCGAGGCGGGCTTGTGGTTGTTGTAGGTCATGGTAAAAGCGGCCGAAATTTCAGGACTGTGACTGTAATCTTGGGGGAGTAAAGACGAGAGAATGAAGCTGGTATGATTTAGATAGTGGCGCACTGTCACAGGTGGTCTCGGGGGATTGATCCTCGTCAAGTGGAGGTAGCGGCTCAGTGGCGATGCGTCATAGTGCTGGGAACAAGGGGGACCCTTGTGGGTAGGAAACAGTGGCGACAGTACTTTCTGTTCAGGTTTTGGTTTGTATGGTCCTGAGCGGATGAGACACGAAGCTCAGAGCGAGTGTATACGTTCATATGAGCGAACTGGCCTGGTTTTTGACGAGTGGTACTGGAAGAAGAATGCAAAATTAGTCATTTGTCAAATGTTATTATATAATTAACATATATATATTTTATATATTAATTTGGCAAATATGTAAATGAACAAATTACGTGATTTTTACGGTTTGTTACGGACCGATCATAATTCTGAGTTTTCGGTGGAGAGGAGAAAGTTCAGGGGCTGGGAGTAAGAGTCACGGGTTTGACCAGTGGGCTGAAACATACCTTGTGGGAAATTCTCTTCTTCTCGGAACCCCAGGTGTTGGAGAATTCGCTTGCGCGCCGACCGTGAGTAGAGCCGTTCGGCTATTCTCATTGAGGAATGAGTTCGTGTGTGGGACGTATCTAGATGGAATCATGGTGTGTGCGAGGTCGTGTGGTGGCTTGCCTCGATGATCAGCCTTCCACCTGGCTGGCTTGAGCTTTTTACGATTGATCGTCGGATTGATGAATCCGGCGAGAGGTTCGTGCCCAAGGGCGTCCGATTCTCATCTGAGGCAGCACCGACAGCGACCTCGGCAGCGACAGCGGCGATGATTCCGATCTAGATTACGTGTCCCACGACACGACTCATCCTCATATGAGGATGAGCCGCTGTCTGCTTACGCTCAGCGGTTGCGGGAGCGGAATTCTCCAGGACAGCCTGGGTTCCGGTGGAGGAAGAAGGAGAATGTTCCCACAAGGTATGGTTTCAGGGCCCAGCCTGGGGTCAACACCCCCGGGGTGGACTCTGACTCCAGCCCGCTGGAACTTTTCTCCTTCTTCTTCACCGAAGAACTCATGGATATGATCGTCCGTGAGACAAACCGGTAAAATCACGTAATTTTTTGTTTCATTTACATATTTTTGTCAAATTGAATATATAATATATATATATTATGTGAATATATAATGATTACATTGTGTACAATGACTAATTTTTGCATTTCTATCTTTCCAGGTACCACCGTCAAAAGCCAGGGCCCAGTTCTTCTCATATGAAGGACTGGGTAGACACCTCTGTCTCGGAGCTTGGTGTCTTCATCGGCCTCAGGATGGCCATGGGGATCAACCAAAAGCCTGAGCAGAGGAGTTACTGGTCGACCGACCTGTTCTACCACAGTCCCCTGTTCCCAGCGACTATGACGCGGGATCGTTTCGTTCAGCTGAGCCGCTACCTCCACGTGGTGGACGAGGGGAGTCATCCCCCCGATGACCACCTGTGGAAGTTGCGGCCAGCTATCGAAATTCTCCAGCGTCAGTTCTCGTCGGTCTTTACTCCTCCCAGGAGGATTACAGTCGACGAGTCTCTGGAAATTTCGGGGGCGCTTTGTAGCCATGACCTACAACACCAGCAAGCGCTCGCGCTTTGGGGTGAAGGTCTACAAGCTCGCGGCCAGTGAAGGCCCGAGCAACGGTTACATATGCACCTTCGAAATTTACACGGGCAGGGACAGAAGCGATATACCCGCATCCCAGAGGGCTGTCATCCACTTGATGGGCGCAGCGGGCTTATTTGATAAAGGGTATGACCTGTATACAGATAACTGGTATACGTCGCCTACCCTTTTTCATTACCTGCAGAGCAGGCGCACGAACCAGATTGGCACAGTACGTGCCAATTGCAAGTTCATGCCCACTGATCTGCAGGTAAAAGCCCATGGAGATGTGGACAGTCACAGCACGCCTACAGGCATGTTGTGCCTGCAATGGCGCGACAGGCGTGTAGTGACGTTGCTGTCGACTGTCCACAAAAGCGGTCCCGCAGTGGGTTTGAGAGGATCAAACCCCAAGTAGTCGTAGACTACAACTGTGGGAAGAAGGGGGTCGATAACAGTGATCAGCCGGCTGTATCGTACCCGAGCACTTGCAAGTCCCTGAAGTGGTACAAGAAGGTTTTGTTCAACCTTGTTGATATGACAGTCGTCAACGCCTTCTCATTGCACAAGGTGCTCGGAGGGCGATTGACTCAGCTGATCTTCAGGAAAAGACTGTCTGAAGATCTCATGCAGCTGGGGAGTCGCGATGGTAGAGAGGTCAGGTCGCGGTCCCGGTCCCGGTCCCGGTCCCGCTCTCCGCATCCTGCTCCGGCTCTTCAGGGTATCCATTGCCAGATATCGACAGATACTGTAGGTGCAGACTGTGCTACTCTCGTGGCGTGAGGAGGATGACCAAGATGATGTGTTCAGGGTGTGATGTTCCTCTCTGTCGGACTTCCTGCTTTGAGGAATATCACACTCTGAACGCATCTACGTCTAAGTGATCCTCCTCACGCCACGACCTTGTACATATTGTAAATAGTTTACTTTCGTAAATAAAATACGAAATGTGAAAAAAAACTTTCTATATCCTCATATACCACACTATTTCTTTACACACCAATATGAAAAGAATACTCAAGAAAATATTCTTTGAAACACTGAAAAGAATAAAGAAAAGAAAGAAGGAAAAAGAAAAAAAGAAAGAAAGCTTCTTTACAAGACTTGATCCAATGATATTGAACAAATACGACTCCCAAAAATAACTTACAACAGGAATAAAAAATAAAAAAATATATGCGTATTACGTATATGATGTGATAACGTACTAATCAACTGTGGAGTCTATACTACGAAAAAACTGTCATACATACTTGACTTATAGGAAAACATAGCAAATATATACCTTAGAAAATAATAAAAAAAAAAAAAAAAAAAATCTTAGTGATACAAAGAAAAGGCAAGGAATGCTGGTATTGCCACAGGGATATGGCACGGGTCCCCGGCAGCAAGGCCCAGGCCGCTGCGAATACTGCCCGGGGAAAGGGTCGCGCGTATCGGAAAATGACCCGTCGGGATTGGGTTAGAGTATTCATCCTTTAGTGAATGCAAGCTGGTAGGAGTATAGCTGAGGATATTAGCATTAAGTTGAAAAGTTATAGCATGGAATATCTGTTTGCATTGCTTTCTTATGCATTTCACATCAATTATTAAAATCTAAGTGACAAAGTTTGCTTGGACCCGTTAATTTACTAACATGGTTTATAATGTTATCCATGAATGCACTCCCGGTTACCACATAAAATCCAGGCTTGCTACTTTTATGGTGTTCACAATTTTTTATTAGCCAGCTTTACCTGCATAATAATTACAATCATGAAATAGTATAATTATAATTTTTTTTACTTTCATGCACTATTTTTAAAAAGCTAATTGATTAAAATAAAAGTCCACTGGTCTGCTAACCTTGGTCTGAGCCCGAGCTATGGCTGGTGAAGTTGGAGCAGATCCTGGGGGAGTGGGACGAGGAGGGGGAGGTCTTGATGGGGCAGGGCGTGGAGGTGGGGGCCGAGAGGGCTGGATGGGGGACCGCTGTTCCTTTATTGGTTCACTGCTGGCTGGATCCTCTTCACCCTCAAGTTCTGACTGATACAACTTCTCCATGGCACCTGTTAAATATTTGCCAATGTTTTTTTTATTTACTGTGTGAGATACATGAATGGATAGAAAGGACAAAATAATTAAGAAAGATGAATGGAGAAGAGAAGGGGGAAAGTATAAATTTGAAGCATTTACTATTGGAATTAGATTTAAATATGGTATGGTGTACAGAACTCCCAAGAACTTTGGGAGGTAAATAAAGAGGAAAAAGATATATATGAACAAACCAAACCAAACCAAAACCTGCATAACTAATAATCAAGAAATAAAAACTACCCCAATATTTAATCCATATTATTCAGTTTGGTGGGGAACCACATAAGAAGCTGTGACAGGAGCGTATTTGCCTGGCCTAAGCAATATCCGCTACATCCATCACACTTTATAACTGATCATACTTTTGGTGTTGTGTAAAACATGGAGAGGAAAGATATGTACAATATCATGGATTAGTCGTACTTTGGAGGCTTTTGGATTATATATCTCATAACTGAGATAATGTTTTTTTCTAATTAATTGATCTTCATGCACTGCTGATTTATGAATTTGGAGAAGCTTAGAAGTTTTGTGTCTGTTCTGTGAATAATTTTTTTTTTTTTTTTTTTTTTTGAAAGGAGTTTGTCGTTCAATATTTCTACTTTTTTCTATTGTAATTCCTCTCTGATCATCAAGACTATGACTACAGAGTCTCTGGAGAGCCTTAGCTTTGCTTCAATGGAGTGAATGTGGTTAGTATTTGAAAACTGGATATGAAGATATAGTTTTAGTTGCAAATATATTCATAGAAATAATAGAAAATACATATAAAAATATGAGTAATAAATACAGTTTCAAGTCTCATTCTTTAACTAGCATGTATTTCTGCAACAGTGGCACTGCTGCAGAAATACATACATACAGAAATACTACTTTTTCCCAGATCTGAAACTCAAAATGTGTTCAGCTAGTAGAGATTGCTGATGCTGTTGGTGTCAGAGGTGGGATGGTGGTGGGGTGGCTGGCATGTAGGTGATACTCCTCCCTCAGTGTGGTGGACACCACAGGAAGTTTGAGGTCAGAATGAGTTAGAAGTTCAGCTGGGTTAGTGTCCCCCTGAGAGCCCTGTGGATGGCATAGACATTGATAATAGCCAAGTCCCTTTCATCCCAGTATTGTAGTCGATGACGACCTGTGGCTTCCTTCTGACTTCTGCATTGATTTTGTGGCAAGTCCAGCATCTCACTGTTGTGGATGGTGGAGAGCAAGTTCAAAGGCTTTTTGTCCACCCAAGACAGGTTCATAAATCCTGTGGCAGTGGACTGAAAATCAACCATTCCTCAGGCCTTTACTTGTAAGTCTTCCTGCATCAATTCCACCACTATCTTCATGGAGACTTGAATCTCATCCCAGTCTTGGCCCATATATATATCTTAAAGGCAGATGTGTCGTCAACTGTTGTACCTATCCAGGTGCTCTAGCTTGCCAACTGGAGATGTAGAAAACCCATACCACCTTATCACAGACTCTTGCTTCTTCTTGTTGGAAAGATGACAAGCTATGTTGGACAGTGACTAGATTACTGTCTATGACACATCACTTGATTCTGACTGTAATCTAGTTCTTCCTATTCCAATCACTCTTGGCAGCAGCTTCAGGTATATAGTCATGATCATCATCGTTGTTATAGTCCTCTTCCTTGAAGTCCAGTTTGAATCTCCAAGGTCAGGCTGGTCTCTAGAATACTCAGGGTCATAGTCAGGGGTAGCAGAAGGGATCTCAGCCTTTCTTTCTCTCTTTAACCAGGCGTAGTCTCAAAGAGGTAGCGGTGGGAAGATTAAGTAACCCTCAGAATTGTCTGGGTTATCCTTCCAGAGGTGGAAAGTTGAGGATCGTAAGGGTCACTGTCAGACTGAAGACTGCGGATGGCAGCAGAATACTTTGACTTTCAGCAACACATTTTGCGGAACTGGCATGGCAAAAAATAAAATATCTAAATAAAAACATTTAAATAATGTACAACTTTTACCTTCAATATTTCTAATGCTGAAAGAAGTATCCACTTGGTCTGAGATGTTGAGGGTCTCCTCTATAAGAGGTACAGTAGTGTCCCCGCAGAGGGCAAGCTCCTCCTCCAGCTGGTCTCTCCAGGCCTCTGTCTTGAGCTTCACTTCCAGCCTGTGTCCACCTATCTGTAATCATTATCAGAAGGCTGAAATACTGCATATGTATTGCTATCTATCTATTACTATAAATCATACATACATTCTGGTGCAACAATTATTCTCATATATCAATCATCCTTTACCATTTATTCACGTATCATTATTATCTTTTTTTTCTAAGAAAACAAAACATCACTATCCACATAGGCAAGCTTAATCCCAATCTCAATTACCTGTAATGGACTACATCCTATAGCCTTTAGTGCTGTCTGCGAATCGCTAAACGTGAACCAAACTCTGTTATCCACAAAGCGCACAAGCACCACAGAGCCCACTGTTCCCATGGCTTCTTGGACTTTCTCCAGTGTTTCATCGTCAAAAACAGAATCTGCATCAGCTCCAGGAGGGAGGTTCTGAACCTGTGGCATGAACAATCATGGTTACTTTCCCCTTTATCATTATCAATATTTCTATGGTTATAATTGTTTTTACTTATAATAATTACCATCATTGACATATTCTCTCTCTATCATGTTTGTTGAGGGGATTTTCCTCTGTATGGAGTGCACTAAGAGATAGAGATTGATACCAAACGAATAAAAATCTGGAACCTAGGATAAATAGAATATTTCTTTCTATCAACATCAACTCCCGTAGCATTTTTTTATTCCTTGTTGGCATTTAGAATCTTCAGGCAGTCCATAATAATAAATAACATTCTGTAATTTTTTTTCTCTTTTGTAATATTTAATTTTCGGTAACACAACCTGCTCTGCTGGTCACGGCAGGCATAAACACCGAGTCTAATCACCCTCCAAGTTTTGCACTTGTGGGGAGTCACTTTTTCCATGAAGGCATGTTCAATGTTACCCAGCACTTAAGCCAAATTTCATCATAGTGTGATGATATTACCCAGATCCAAGTGGTTAAGGAGTACAAAATGGCTTGCAACTACCCTCTTTATTGTTATGGATGTACTGAGGTGCTGTCTCATATTCAACTAGAACATTGCTTACTGGCATACATGAGAAAAAAATATTTTTTTATTTTGAAAACTCCCCCTTGTCCTGTTCCAAAGCCAGACAACTTGCAAAATTTTGGAATAAACTAAAATTCAACCAATTTACAAGAAATATTCTGCAGTAATATTTCAAAGGCATATGAAAAGATGTTAAAGGGTGACTTTCTGGGAAAAAATAAAAAGATGAAGAAAGAAAAGAAGAAGAAGAAAAAAAAAAAAAAACAATTTCAAGATGGTAGATCTGGAAACAAATAACGTTCACTGTAGTTTTTTGTTGTAAAATGTCTTTACACACAGATGGCCACCAAGTAGTCAATTAGTACACTTCATTACCTCACCTAATTTTCCATTTTCTGTCTTCCATTTTTACTAAAGCTATTCACATTAACATTGTTATTTTTATCAAAGACAATAATGCTATCATAATGTAGTAGAAGAAGAAGAAGAAGAAAAACATGGAAGAAAAAACAAGAAAAATAAAAACTTGTATATCATTATTTCTGTTCTAAACACACAACTACTTCAAAAGTCATCACTTCTGAGTATTTGAGATAATCCTCTTTATCAGTGTTCATGCAATCTAATGCTTAAGATTTTCTCCTCTTTATAGCCAAATTACAAAAATATTTTTTATAACAAATGTATCGTAGAAAATTAAATGCACAGAATAATGGGAAATTATCAAATTTGTAAGTTTATTCCTTTCTAATGTTTAATATCTGAAACAAAGAAACGTACTAGCTATCAAAGGTCATATAGCACTATGGTAAAGTATTGTGTTGGAAAGAGTAAAGAACAGTTAAAGATTAGGATAAAATGTGTCAGGTGTCAAAGATTAGAGAGTGTTATAGGATAGTATGGTGCTGAAATGGGAAAAAAGGGGATATAAGTGAACTAGAGCAGATATTAGTAGAAAGGGGAGAGTTAAAGAGGTAGGGCAATTGAGTGAATTATAGTGTATCTGTCACTGGGGAAGGTATAGGAACAATGTTTAAAAAATTAGAGATGAATGTTGGAAGAGTAGGAGAAGAATCTGGGGAGAGGTTAAGGTGTTAGATGTGAAAGATTAAAGGGTGTTATAGGAAAGTATGCTCACAAAAAGGGAAAAGAGGGAAGTAAATGAAGTAGAAGAGGGATTATTAAAATGGGAAAGGTTAAGGGGGTAGAGCAAGAGAGTGAATTGCTGTGCATCTGTGACAGGAAGGAAAACAGAGGTGGCTGTTGGAGAAATAGGAGGAGAATAATTTGGGGGATGAGAAAGGGGGACTGGGGTAGGTGGTAAAGTATCAGGAATTCAAATCAATCAAATCAAATCAAAGAAAAAATCAAGTCTGAAAGGGAGGGGTCTGGACACTTGTAATAGAGGCGATCTGTGTGAGTTTTTAAGTGGGAGTGGTAGAAAATGTGGGGTATGTTGGGAGGGTGTAGGAGGAAGGGGGGAGGAGGAAACTTGAGGAGGAAGATGGATATCTGCAAATTCTTTAAATACAGGAGTAGGAACAAAGGGATTGGGGTTGGGTGGAGTATTCCCTTGGGTCATCTTTAGGAAGTTTTGGATGTCGTCTACAGTTTCTGGAAGGGAGCTGGGTGAAGATGACTGAGAAACAAAGGTTCTTTTATGAGGAGAAGAAGAGGAGATAGATATCTGAGGAGCAGAAGAAGAGGAAGGTGTAGGAGAGGATGTAATAGGAGAGGGTGGAGTGGAACATTTAGATTGGGTTGCCTGGTAAGACAAATAAAGTGAGGAGGAGGGGTAGGTATCAGGGAAGTGGTAGAGATTGGAGTATCTGGATTTAGAACAGAAAACAAATTTCACTGGGGGATAGGGTTAGTAGATGTAGGATGGTTTAGGGTATAGGGGAGAGATACTGGGGGAGATGCAGAAATATCTTGTGAAGATGGTGGGGGAGCAGAGCGAAGGAGTTTTGGAATAGGTTGAGAGAGAAAAACCTTGTTGTTGTGCTTATCTGGCCTCATGTAGAGTGGGGCCTGGTTTAAATCTGAGGACTGCTACCTCACATTTGAGCTTATAGGCAGGGCAGCTACTGTAAAATTATAGGAGTCTCCACAGGCACATGTACGTGACTGAGCAGGGCAATTTGAATGGTCATGACCAGGTTGGGCACAAAAAGGGTAGTGGGCTGAGGAATGACAGTGTTTAGCTGGATTGCCAAAATGACCACATTTCTGACATTGATGAGGAAGGGGATGATATGGTTGGACAATCCACCGATATAAACTTCATGGGAGCGGTCATGTCTACGTAAGCTAATCCTGGCAATATCAACATGGGACTTATGCTGGCCTCTGGGAGGAATAGTGCAACACTGTATTGCCACTGCATCATAGCCAGCAAGGCAGGTAAGCAGGTCATTTTCACAGTCTGACCAGTCCTTGTTGTAGATATGACAAACATATGGGGGAGTAAAACAGTTCCAGTACAAATATTAAGAGAGGGGTGAGGTTCAGCTGGAATATGTTTGCCTGCAAGGTCAGTTAGGGTTTTTAGGGGAATCACAAAGAATTGATCTCATTTGGCTGAGCCAAAGAGAGTACTCAAAAGGTTTGCAGAGGTAGAGGCAGTAGAAGGGAGGGAGGCGGAAGAGGGGGTAGACATTGACGAGGATTGTGCAATAGGAGATGGAGAAGACAAAGTTGGGAGAGGATGGGGTGCTTTCTAAAGATTGAGTATTAGCCTAGGTGGGTGTCAAAGAGGGGGTATTAGTATCAGTAGTTTGAGCTGTGGCCAAAGGAGGGGCAGGGGTTGGAAAACCATCAAAATCAAATTCAGATAGGCTTGTTGATAAAGGGGCAAGCTTTAAAGCCCCTATTAAGGTTAAAGAATCTTCATTATTGGCCATGGTGAGCCTCAATAAAATGGGGAAATGAAGTGGTCTACCACTCAGGGTCCCCATAACAGATAAGGGCTAGGCAATTAACCAAGGGAATACTGTACCCAAGGCTCCCGGAGGCCTTTCAAGCCAGCCTTTCATCCTTTCAGCAGAAGATATTGAAGAGGAAAAGAGAGAAGAAAAGACCAAGCAAAATTAGTTGAGGCAAGGGCTGAGCCCCAAGGTAAGGGAGATCCCCTACAATAGGCCTCAGTCTCAGTCTCCGTCTCCTAAGCCCTCCCACAACAACAATGAGCAAGGTATTGGGAGGGATTCCTTTCAAAGCAATATTCACATTAAGGGTACCATTTGGGACAATGAGGAACACTCATCAAGCTTTCTTAATGGGATTCAAAATTCTATGCCCCCAACCCTACCATTTATTTTACTTGCTATATCTGTCACAGATATTAATATCTTAATAGGTCTACTTTACATACAGTAGCTTCTTATGTTACATAGCCCTCTCTAAATTCTCATAATCATGATTTATTGTGGTTACATTCTTTATAATAATGAGAGTGAAGCAAACTTTCAAGCCACAACAGCACAAGCATTGTTGAAAGCTTATTGTACTGAAATACTATACAAGTTGGCTACAATTTCTTCTAAATCCTTTTTGCCATATTACAAATTTTTAGGTGATAATAAGCATCTCGTGTGGCTTAACCCATTAATGCCGGTATATTTTGAAGCCGAACATAAAAGATTCCAGGCGGCTACAAAATCTGAGGGCGGAGCTGCTCGGGACTCTGAAGCCTGTCAGCCATGGTTCACTGCTGCGTCAGAGCACGAGCCCCGATACAGCATCACACTGGCGGGAATGTCACACGGTCCGGTAATATTTATTTTTTTGGATGTCTCGTATGTGGGACACCCATCATTAGTGGGTTAAGAAAAACTATGAAATATGTTAAGCTTCCCAACAGGATCTGGGATAGGGCCAGAAGGAGAAATGCCTATATAACAGGACATTACTTGCCATTCCCCCCCATCCTCCCTAGGAAATTTGATCTTGCACCCAATTTGCCAAAATGCTAAAAAGCCTTCTTCAAATTTAATAGAAAGAAACAAGAGTCTTTAGATAAACAGCCAAGGTGTGCCTGCTATATTACAATGGGATATTGTAAGGCTAACTTTATATTCAATACATCTCTACATCTATTCTTTTTAACACCTATGATCTGGATTGTAATGCCATGAAAAAATCTGACTTGAGGGGTGGATGATGTGAACATGCCATCATGGGAAAATCTGGCTGTGGGTCAGGGTCATGGGAACATGCAGTCATACGAATTTTGGCTAAAGACCAGAGTGATGAGAATGACTCTCAACAAGTGCACAAAACTCTTAGAGGGCGATTAAACTCTGTATACATGCCTACTGTGACTGGCAGAGCAAGTTGTATTACTTTTGCATTATATCCAGTGTGGAATGTAATGTCCATTAGCCAAAACTGGAAGGGCCCCAGCTCCTGGGTAGACACCATTTCCATGCTCAGGAGCCTGTTCCTTCCAACTATGATCAGCAGCACAGGTTATATTACAGAAAATTTAATATCATGAAAAAAGTTACTTATTGTTATTATCATTGCACCAAGTTATAGACTAATTAGAGAGATGACATGGAGTCAATGCAAGGAAAAGTCTATTAACAACAGGATAAAGTAAATATAATGACAAATATAGACATTGCAAGATGGCATAAAAGCTAAAACTGCTTATGCAGAAAAAAAAAACTTTTTAAAAGAGAGTCTTGTCACCATATGCGTGTTTGTTTGCACCTGGCCTAGAAGCCCCATACCAAGCAGTGTGTCTGCTCACATATGCCTAATGCCCATATTTTGGGCCACATGATAGTAGTTAAGCATCCAGATCCAATGGGTTAATGGGTAATCTTTGGTAAATGTCCTGTTTTCTGAACAGCAATATAAATATAAAATAAAGAAAACAATATACAAAATATTGAGGATAATAGATTCAGTAGTTGAGTCTTGCATGAATAAGATAAATAGTAAAGCTGCCAGGAATTTGAATGCAGTCTGCAAATAACAGAGAACATGGCATCTATTAGCAAAAAAAGAATAATACAATAAAATTTATTATAAAAAAAAAATAACAATTGAATGAGCTCACTAAATGAAATCACTAATAAAAGGAAATGCTATTAGAAGTTGCTTCCTTACTGAAAGATTCCAAACTTCACTATCTTTACATCAAATGGGAATGGATTAAAATGCATCATTCTAGGGAAGTCTTCCATAAAACAATCATTCTTTAGGAATAAAACTTTCTACATCTTTAAAATGGAGCATGCTGTATTTGCTATCTGATCATATATTGTCAATAAAAGGGAGAAAATAATGTACCACAGACTATAAGCATAAAATGATCTAAAATCAGCTGTATGCAGTATAAATCACAACCATTTAATTGCTAGAATCCTTAGTCCTGACATTCATATTCACTAATAAATTATCTTTACCTCCTCCTCTGCTTGCTGATTGAGAAGAGTTGATAATGTATTATGAAAAAGTGCTATATAACATTCATGGAATGAAATTTGTGTGTGTGAAAACCATGACTCCTAAAATATGTCATTAGAACATATATACACAACTGGAAAAAGTATCTGATTTGTTCTTTACATCCAACTTAACATAAATGACTTGGTGTACTTTCCCTTCAACAACAAAGTAACACCCTGCTTAATTCTTTCAGCTTACCTGCACTACAACAGTACAGTCCGAAGGACCAAGTGATGCTACAACAGACTCGTAGGTGCTGGCAAGCTTTGAGTCAATGACAGTGCAGCCTTCTACATCAATCACTGCCAACACTGGTCGATGGTCACTCTGTTTCAGCTCAGCCCTTCCATAGTGAACAAATCGACCTAGTGCAAAAGAGTAGAAGAATCATGTGGGTAATGCAATCATGCTTAAACCTCGCAAGCAAGCATCTTTTTATTCTTCTAGACATGCTTGTGGTAAAGTTTTATTAAATAATAAAAGTTAAAGTTAGCTCATTTAACACCATCAAAATGTGTACTGTGCTGTTTTCAGTAATGTACAATGTAATGTACAAATCAATGCAAAAGTATATGGGGTCATTATTTAAGGATGAACTCCCTGCACTTAATTTAACCCACTGGCATTGTGGCTTTAATTCATCAATCTTATTTACAACCTAATGCCTACACAAGGGTTTTGTCACCAAAGAGTCAATTACTAGGTCTACCTGACTTATCTTTACCTTATTCTGTGAATTTTCAGGAACAAGTTCTTATTTCTATATAATTATCATTATTGTCACAATCATCATAAAATTAACCCACTATCGCCTTCCATTTGGAAGGCGATATTCCCCAGTTCCAGGCAGTATCAAAATCTGTGTGCTGGCCAGTCCTGGAATCTGCCCGTGCGCTGTGCACCACAGGCTACAAAATCAGAGTGCAAACTCTGATCTAGTGTTGTTTATTTTTCCAGGCATCACCTATGTGTGACATCCAGCACAAGTGGGTTAACAATAATATTGGTAATAAGAACAAAAACCTTTCTTTCCAGCAATTAAAGGAATGGGGTAAACAGGTAAGATCAGGTAGGCCTAGTAATTAAATCAATTTAAGGGGGCCATTGCACTGAATTTTCAACAAATATTTTCAAAAATACTCATAAATCTCCTATAATCAAGTATGCTTTGGCAACCCCCATGACATAATATTTTTGCTAAATATGTAAAAATAAAGGAGTCAATTCTGCTTCTGAATCAGCTGATAGTCACAACTAAGAGACAAAGTGGGCAGTCACCATGAAAGAGTCAGAGCAGCATGACACCATCCCAGAGACATACCCCTGATGTGCCCTCATCGCACACTAAGAGGACGCTAATAAGATAGATGTAACTATTAAACATAATATGATGAGAAATACATATCAATCAAAGCTGCAGCAGTTGTTTGTTCATATGAAATGCCTCATGATTTACTGTAGAGTCACTGTGAAGCCTGTGATAACACACAGTACTTCTACATCATGTGCAGTACCTGACCCCTCCCTTGCAATAGGGAGGGACCAGGTAGCAGCTACACTTCTGAATACCATGTAAATGCCATCAAATGCATCAAGATTGACACAGTGATCAGATCAAAAAATAAATAAAAAAATAAATTAAAAAATAACGAAGGAAAAAGTGTCCTCAACTTCAAACCCTGATATTTCAAAAATACACCTTTGTTCATAACTACTTGGGCAATTCTAATGGGGTTTGAATCATTTGAAAGCTGAATAATTTTTTTTGTGCCTGGGTATTTTCATTTCAGGTGATGAAAGTCCATATATTACATTTTATATTCATAACAACAACAACAACAACAACAACAACAACAACAACAACAACAAAAACAGAGGAAATTTCTATATCCAAATCAAACAAGGTTTAGGTATTGCTATAGAGTATATGTGGTATTTTTCTTAACAGGTTTACAGTCAATGGATAAGTGAGATATGTAACTTTCAAACTTTTTTTCATCTTTCATTTTTTTTTTTTTATAACTTCGTTGCTTATTATCCAAATAATACGAAACTTGGTGGTTTAAATTTTAGTATATGTATATTTATCATACTAAAAAATCATAATTAGTAATGATCATAATTAACGAACTTTATTCTGGTGTGACAGCCCCCTTAACTAAGCCATCTGTGTGTATGCAAAATTGATAAAACAAGACCAAAGTGGAGAGTACATATACACATACACTTCTGGCATCAATGGGTTAACATCCATATGCCACTGACCAAAAATATATAAAACTGCAATTTTACTACCTCCTGAAAAATGATAATTTCTATCAATGAAATCAATAACACTTTGTCAAATATTTCGAAAGCTTATTCAGAAAATACAAACTAGTTTCTGTCTTGAAAAAGCATTTTTCAATAGCACAAAGATTCAGTTAGCAATCTTTCTTTTTTCTTGTAAATCTCCAATTGCCATTTCTTGCTTTAAATAAATATTCAAAAGAACTGCTACATCATTTTTTTGTTTGCCATAACACATATATACAAGAAAAAATTTGGCACTATCAATAAATTTTCCATGAATGAGATGAAGAAAATTAAGGAAAATATTCATATTAATTCAATTAACGATCTCAAAAATCAGATGTTATTCTATGGACAAGAAGCACAGACAGCCTAGAGTAATAAAGAGAGGAAGAGGAACATAACATAAATATACCTGGTGTCCACTTGGGATTCTCCTTGTCACGTGGGTACATCCTCCTCCAAAAGAGCACCCTGTCTGTCCATGCTGGAATGCGGGACTTTTCACTGGTATCATAATCATCAGAGAACAGGTCATACTTGTATGTTGGAGCAAAAGCGATGTCACCTTCTATGAAACCTTTGAAGCACTTCTCTTCGGCATAACTTTGCTGTAGTGGAATAATTTTATAACACTATCATGTCTGTATTGACTCCTTCAACTAAGATTAATAATTTCAATTATATAAAGCTTCAAAGTTTAAATTTTCTATATATATATAATTACAATACCATTTCTAACAATTTCTATATAATCACCTTTACACTGTGAAGTAAAGCAGAAATCCAACTACACTTCAACACAAAAAATTTGTAAACAGATGTAAAGTGTATAGGGTTTCTTAACCCGTTGCCGCAGGGTGGCACGTACGTACATGCCATGGCTGTTGTGGACCAAACTACTGGCTCGTCGGACGGAGGTTGTTTTTCTCCGATAGTAGTGGCTTCATTTATATGGTAAAGATTTTAGGCAATGGCACCTATAGTGAAGGTAAACCTTCAAAATTTTAATGTTTTTATAAACTTTACCAAAATAAATGCTTTTAGGGTGCTAAATATTGCTCGCAAACTACCGATCGAGCCGGGCGCAAACGGGAAACTGCCGATGTGTGCCAACAAGCCTGTGCATACGTCCTCTTGCCAAAATTTTTACCCGTCGGCGATGGGTTAACCCTAGAATAGCACATCACTTTGTTGTGACAAACACCACTGGTACACCTTAATCTCACAAAACCAAAGAAAAATGAAAATTTCTTTTGGTTCATTTAATGATCTTTGAACATAAAAAAAACCTTTTTGGCTCTGTTCACTATAAGATTATAAATAGAAACTGAATATCAACCTATTCTATTGATTTTAATAAATCAAAACCAGAAATTAAAGCTTCTCTTAAAATGAAACCCACATAAAAACAAGACATAATATGTTCACATTGCTTTCAGAGTTAGCATGATAAAGTCTTTGAGTCAATAGTATCAATGGTGTAGCCAGATGTGCAAAGGACAAGAATTGCTAGTTGAAATATTGTGGTATATAATGGCTTGCATGCTGTCATTTCAAAATATGCTGCCAGGATATAAACAAGGCTTTTGTAGTTGTTGAATATCCAATAAAATCTCCAGTGCCAAAGACACTCTTTGTCAAACATCATAACCCTGATAATGTACAGCACACTAAAAAATGCTTTGCTGACCATGGTTTAGTCACAGTCCATGCCAATAATCAACATACACTGGTTTACTGATTACTGATACCTCATCTTTCTGTCTTCTCCTGGACAAATTGAACACTTTTTATTATGGTAGAAAAACCCACAATTCACAAACTATTGCTCGCGGGTTTGTTCTGACTCGGTGGTGGTCCTCGACCATGCTTCCTCCTTGCAGAAGGCCCAGGTCCTGTTGGATGACGCCTCCACCTATGCCCCCCTGACCAGCGACCCCAGGAACGCATTGCTGCTACCTTCCATCGTCACCCGAAAGAGCTGGCAACCTGTTTCCCGGAGGTGAACCTTTACCAGACGTTCAAGGTCATCAACCCTTACCTCCCTCATTTATATGGGCTTCCTAAAACCCATATGCCAGCCGTGCCTCTGTGCCCCATCATCTCATCCCGGGATCTGTGATGCAGCAACACTCTTGTGGCTTAGCTGGCTTCAGCTCACCTTTGCCATTCTCAGGACTTCATCGCCCATGTCCATGGTGTTGCGCCAGTGACCATGATGAGCTTGGATGTTGACTACTTGTTCATCAAGGTCCCACTTGATGATGTCCTCGCTATCCTTCAGAGGAAGCTCCCTGCTGGGATCCAGTTGATTCGTCTGCGTGTGGAATCAAATTCCTTTTCCTTTGAGGGTCATTTCTACTCACATATGTTTGGTGATGCCATGGGTTCGCCTCTCTCCTCAAATATCTGTAATCCAGGGACATAACAACAACGCCCTCTTCTGCCTTCAGTGGGAAACAGGCCATCAGATGGATTGGAAAGCAGTGTACATTGTTTCCCTTCCTGATGTCCAAGCCCCCAGACTGGTGGATTCTTCCTTGATCACACTGCTGCCCAATTTCAATCTGAACAGCGTTTTTTTTCCTGCCGACAGCCCCCCTTGCTTCCCACATTCTCTGCCTCCTTCCATATGCCGGCCACCCTTCACATAGACCGGCCGGCACTCAGGCAGAGACCGGGCCAGCAACACGCGCCGATTTTGCAGCCGCCTGGAAACTTTTATTTTTGGCTTCAAAATATACCCGTGTTAGTGGGTTAATAAATCAAGTCTGTGCATTGTGGGTTTTTCTACCATAATCTCATCACGGTAGAGTGTTTTCCCATTCATCTCTTAGTATTTAGTCCAGATGCAAATTGTCTTGAGAAGTTGAAATCAGGGAAAAAAGACCTTGCCAAATCCTGTAGATTTGGGTTTCACAAACTTAACCACAATTCTACTATGTTATACCAACAAACAGATATTTGAAAACCATCACACCCATACTTACCATTGGCACCCAAATCTACAAAGCTACTGTGAAGTAAGGGTTCCCTGGCACCTTAAAGTTGCTAAACCAACAAGTGGCATCAAAATGCCAGGACTCTTACACCCAGATCTACTATTCTAGAGTTAAGGTACAAATGAATGAAATACTGACCTTAAGTTGATCATGTTGGAAGCAGACACTCATTCTCGCCTCTTAACGAGTTCAAGTACTTCATCACGAGAAAGATTAATGCGATAATTTGAAATCCCACACCAGAAGACATAATCATGGGCCCACAGTGGCATGCCTGGAAGAATACAACATAATTTATGAGAAATCCTTTCAACTAAAAAGGCATGAACATAAATAGTTGTGAAAGAAATCTGAATCAAGCAAAAAAAAAAAAAAAAAAAAAAAAAAAAAAAAAAAAAAAAAAAACAAAAAAAAAAAAAAAAAAAGAAACAAAAACAAAAAATGGCAAGGCAGATATGGCGATTACAAAAAAAAGTAACATAAAAGAGAAGAACTGCAGAAGATAACAAATAAATTATAAAGATACAAAGAAAACTTAGGAACATAATGAGAAAAAAATAAGAAAACAGTAAATAAAAAAGAAGAAAAAAAGATAAAGAAGAACAAAAGTTTCCATAAAAAAGAAATCTTAGTGAGGAAGATTCAACATGTGGCATAAAGAATTTAGGAAAGGCTCTTCATTAATCAAACCACTTAAGAAATTAATGAGGAGGGTAGAGGAAAGTGTTATAATCATCTCATGAGCCAAGTCTGATTAAACAGATAAGAACATGTAGATAGAAAAAAACCCTATCGTGCGCCAACCAGCTACAGGGAGTCGAGGTTGGACAAAAGTTCCGTTCTCAATCGTAATCTTAACCCATGCTCTGTGGACTTGGCAACAAACAGATTGTGCTACAGAAATAATTGGAATAGTTAAGATTTTTCGTTAGGAAGGATCTAGCAAGGCAAATAACAAAATCAATACTTATTCGTTGATCCAGTATATCCATCTGAGCAAATATATGGTATCTAGCCCTAGGCAACAGACAATATTGGAATTGAACAAGAAAAGCAGTTCAATTACCATCTGATCCACTGTCTATCTAAATTGACAAATTACACCTGGCGAAAATGTCAAAAAAAGGAAGAGAAAAAAAAAAAGTGGTGAGCAAAACTCTCTCTTTGACAGGAAGGCGAACAAGTTATGTAATGGCAAATTGTTTACGCATCAAACCACCATACGTTGCAAAGATGACTATTCAAGTACAATTAAACCTGATTTGGTGCATGCATCCTGAATCAACAGGTTTTGATATAAGCAATATTAATACACCCGTAATAGCATATTATCCATTCTAATTTAAAAAATATAAGAATAATACTAGGCTCGAAAATTCACTACAAAATCTTATGAAGGCAAAATGCAAGGATAAAAATGCAATTACAATGAAAACTACATGCTGGAAAGGGATTGAAAAATAATGATTCCTACGATTCTCTTTTTCTCCTTCCCTTCCGGTAATTTCCTCGCTTATTAGTTAATTTCTGACGTATGAGAGAGACTCATTATTTTCTCCAGTGTTATTTTCATCTCCTTTGCCTTCAAGAGTTCTGTGATGATATATAGTTATTCTTAATTTTTAAATGGATATTTTTAATATTGTTATCAACCTGTTGAATCAGGATGCACTGCCCCAAAATCCAGGTTTAATTGTACTTGAATAGCAACTCTCTTGCAAGTGTGGTTTGATGGAACAATTTGCATACATACTTGTATTCCATGTCAAGAGAGAGTCTTTGCCTCCCACTTTTTTTTTTTTTTCTTTCTTTTTTGACATTTTCCAAGGTGTAAATTTGTCATTTGATAGACTGTATCAAGATGGTAATTGACTGCTTTTCTTGTACAAATTCCATATTGTCTGTCTAGGTAGTCCATATTTGAGTGCAATAATGATAACAATAAGTATTATTTTGTTATTGCCCCCTTTAAGAAAAAATCTTAATATTCAATTTTCTGTAACACATCTTTTGTTGCCAGTCACAGAAGGCTGGGTTAGAATTTAGAACGGAATTATTGTCCTCCCTGTAGCTGTGGCACCTCCAGACTTGGCTCATGGATGATTCATTCCACCCTTATTTACCAGTGGAAATAATGCAAGAGCCTTTTCCTAAATGCCCACAAAGTTGAATCTTCCTCTAAGATCTTTATGCACTCACAAATCATTCTCATCACCCCGTCCTACAGCCAAAGTTTTCTTGACATAAACTTTGACCCCCCAAATGTTACCCATCCCTTGACCTTGGATCAGATTTTTTCACAACTTTATGTTCATGCCTTTAGTGAAAGATTTCTCATAAATTATGTTGTATTCTTCCAGGGCATGCCACTGTGGGCCCATGATTATGTCTTCTGGTGTGGGGATTTCAATTATCGCATTAATCTTTCTCGTGATGAAGTACTTGAACTCGTTCAGAGGCGAGAATGGAGTGTCCTGCTTCAACATGATCAACTTAAGGTCAGTATTTCATTCATTTGTACCTTAACTCTAGAATAGTAGATCTGGGTGTAAGAGTCCTGGCATTTTGATGCCACTTGTTGGTTTAGCAACTTTAAGGTGCCAGGGAACCCTTACTTCACAGTAGCTTTGTAGATTTGGGTGCCAATGGTAAGTATGGGTGTGATGGTTTTCAAATATCTGTTTGTTGGTATAACATAGTAGAATTGTGGTTAAGTTTGTGAAACCCAAATCTACAGGATTTGACAAGGTCTTTTTTCCCTGATTTCAACTTCTCAAGACCCAAT